ATTATTGTAACCTCTGACAGCTTTGACACAGCTCCCGGGAAAGGAGGTTCCCTAGCTGAATCAGGAACTTGAATATTGGCAGCAAATAGTTCTGCGAGGAGGTCAGCTGTCTCCTGACTACTAGTAAAGGTAGTCCCATCCTGCCGATTTAGAGGTGGAATAATGTTATCAGGTGAATAACCTTACCAGTCCTTGACCAAGGACCACCAGGTTTTGAAGCCCACTCTACTCGATGCCTTTTTTTTTTTGTGGCAGTCTCTCATCTAGAGATGATCCACTTTTGAAGTTCTTCATTCACAGTCTTTCACACACACACACTCGTTGCTGAAGTGGCTTAAGAAAATACCATACACTGTCTTAAGAAAGGGTATTAGAGAGATGAAGTGGCCAGGAATCGATAATGCCTATCGACAGCATTTAAGGCACTATTAGCTTCGGTTAGACTCTCGCACACGCAAATTATTTAATACAGTGTAGCGAGTGCAAATGAGTGAGGATATATACTGGCGAGTAAGTGCACCGACCTCCACCCACTTACACTCGTACGCCGTCCACACACGTGCATTAACCCACCCCTCGGTCCATCTCTGTCGTGCAGGCTGAAAGGAGGCAATCATTGTAATTTATTTACACTTAGATCCCGTGTGATAAAGGAGTTAATTACCGACACTACACTCCCTCCCGACGCGTAACTACGAAAGGAGTAGGGAAGGAGGAGGACTCTGCCCTTTTTCTGCAGGATAAAAGACAAAACCTCTGAAATATATAAAAAAAAGAAGCAGCGGCAAGTCACGAAGACTGGAAAACATGGCAGGGTCTCTGGAATACCAGCATAGTGATCTGAGTGTCAATACCAGCAGGAAGGGCTGAGCCTGTGGAATACCAGCAGAGAGAGAGAACAGTCCTTGGAATACCAGTAAAAAGAGGGCTGAAATCTTGGAATATCAATCTTTAGAATGCCAAAAGAGGGGACTGACTCTTTGAGATGGATAAGTCTGGAATACTAGCAGAGAGGGATGAATACTTGGAACACTATGAGAGAAGGCACAATCCCTTGAACACAAGGAGAGACATTTGAGCTTCTGTTCGACCAATATCACTGGAAGAATTAGAATTTTGCATGACTGTGAAGCATGGGCGTAGATAATTCATTAATATATGACAACACACGTTTTAGGATTTAATGGACGTGAACGTGGGGTCGCTGTCATTAGTTTATACGTTATATCGGTTAGAAAAACTCTCCTGTTACTCACGCGAGGTCCTATTAACAGACACGAAGACGAGCTCTTTAATCTCATAATGACGTCTTTCTCTCCAGGGCCGAAAACTAAAGTGTAATATTATAAGCTCCTGAGTTTTTCTCGTGTAAATTATCCTCACGTGATCCTTTTACGCTATCAGTGACTTGGCTGTAATGGGAACCGCATATCGCACATTGTATCATCTTAATTTGGTGCTGGATTCTTTGATTATATGTTTATTATCGTGTTTGATGCATCTGATTCCTGGATCTCATTCGCTCAAGAAATTACCCATTTTATTACTCAAAACAAAATCTTCTGTGATATTTTAAGTTTACTATACTTCAGATTCTCTCCTACAAACATTGATGTCAATGTCCTTCACTGAAAACTGAAAACTTTCAGTATTATACAGTAGCAGTGTGATATGGTTTCATCCTGAAAATAATATTAATGTATTCTGATGTCTAGGATAGCTTGGTGTTATAAAGCTGGCCACTACAAAACAAAGGAATATGATAACATACACTGATAACTGAAAATGAACGATAGTGACGGTAAATGCAACGTTATCTAAAATTGCATATGCCAGTGCACGGCATTGTTCGATAATGTACGATAATTGGCAATAACGTTGCGATAATGTGCAATATTCCTTGATAATTTGCATTATATCACTCAACAGCGGACACATTAAACCTTCATAATTGTGCGGCAGTTAATTAGCCAGGTGCATACATAATTAAACCCGAAATGTGACCTATTCGTCACGCTCGGAATACCAGCGTGTGAACCATTAGGCTAAGTGAGCGAGCTTTTGTTGACTTCCCTAGAGACTTGTCCCAGTTAGTACCTTTTTTTTTTTTTTTTTTTTTTTTTTTTTTTGCAACCGGCGCTACCGCTTGATCTTGCTGACGCCTGCTGTTGGGAAAATGATCTGGGACTTCACCCAGGCGATAACCTTTGTTGACCCGGCTTGTGAAGAGACCTCTGACCTTTCACAGGTGTAATTACTCAAGAGCTATTTCTGTGTGGTGGCAATATTTAATATGCATATTGACGGCAGCAGGAATAATCCACATGAGGGTATTTGCAAGGCAGTGTGGGAGAGGACAGACAGGCAGGCAAAGATAGAAACACGTACACACACACACACACACACACACACACACACACACACACACACACACACACACACACACACACACACATGTGCACGCACGCACTCATACACATAAGCATGTAACCTCGCAATAGTGGATACACTTGTTGAGCTGGCCAGAAGGGCCCTCATAAACAGGAAGACTTTGACCACAAGGAGATTGATGGGAGAAACTAGAGCTACACGGAGAACCAGAAACGGCGGAGGGCTAAGATGCTGGAGATGGTGATGGAGAAGAGGATGAACCAGCAACGGTTGGATCTTTTATTCACTCTGAGTGGTTCCGACACTGAGGATATTACATATGAAATGCCTCTCGGCACTAGTAATCATACGAACTGAGCTTCGAATACCTTGTGAATTAACAGTGGAGAGTGGGTAACCCTCCAGAGAGGGTTACCTCAAGAGAAGGGACTACAAAGGCAGGAAGCAATTTCTAAATGAGGGGCAGTAGGAAATGGAGCTAGAGGGAAAGACAGGGACAGAGATAATGGAATATGTGGCCAGAAAGTGAAGGGAGGCACAGAAGTTCGTAAACAATAGGAAAACCAAGGTGAGGAACTCTCAAGGAATGAAAAGGAAATCTGTGAAGAGCTCAGCATGAAATTTAGGTAATCTCAGAGGAGGCAGAAAGGGCAGAAGCAAACAAGCCAGAGAGTGCACCAGTAAGCGTCGTAGGCAATACACACGCACCCGAGCAGGAGGTGAACTAGCTGCTTTGTGATTTAGATGCGCCGAAGGCGGTGAGACCAAAGAGTATCTCTCAGTGGGTTCTGAGAAAGGAAGCAAAGGCACTGTGCGTTCAACCAGGAACGGTCTACAGTAAGTCTATCGAAACAAATTAACTGCTAGAGGTGTGAAGGACAGCATATGTAGGACCCAGTGTTAGCATGTAAAACTATGGAGAAAATTATCAGGAAGAAAATGCGGAGCATCTGATTTTCATACATGACATCCAGCACGGCTTCAGGGATCGAATATTATGTACCACAAACTTACTAGAGTCCTGCGGCTAAGTAACAGAAGTAAGGCAGGAAGAGAGAGAGAGGCAGAGGTTTGATTGCATTTTCTTAGACTGTAAAGAGGCTTTTTACACAATACCGTACAAGAGACTGGTACAAACGCTAGAGTAACATGCAGGAATCACAGCAAAGCACTATAATGGATCAAGACATACTTGCCAGGAAGAAAATAGCGAGTGATGGTCCGTGACGAGGTGTCGGAATGGATGAGTGTTACGAGTGGGGTTCCACATGGATCAGTCCTAAGGCCGGTGCTGTTTTTTGTATACGTGAATGACATGACAGAAGGATAGAGTCAGAGAAATCCCTCTTCACAGACGACGTGAAACTAATGATAATACAAGATGACGATAACTAAAACAGGTTACAAATGGATCTAGACAGGCTGCAGGCCTGGTCTGACAAATGGCTCCTGGAGTTTAACCCCATCAGATGCAAAGTTATGAAGCTTGGGGATGGGCAAAGAAAACCGTAGACGGAGTACAGGCTCGGGGGCAAACGCTAGAAGCCTCGCTCAAGAAGGACCATTGGATGAGTATCATACCGAGCATATCCCCTAAGGCGCACATCAACCAAATACTGCTACAGTAAAATGCGTGTCGGCCAAATCTAAAAATAGCTTTTGGACACCTAAGCAAGGCGTCATTCACGGCACTGTACACCGAGTACGTCAGGCCCAGATTAGAATATGCTGCACCAATTTGGAACCTACACCTAGGTAAGCATATCAAGAAATTTGAGAATGTACAGCGGTTTGCAACTAGACTATTCCAGGAGCTAAAGGGTATGTCCTATGAGAAGAAGTAAGGGAACTCAACTTGATAACACTGAACCAGGAGAATTAGGGGGGGATACATGATCACGACGTACAAAATATGTTTCAGAGATTGGAAAAATAAACAAGAGGGCACAGAAGATAAAAACTCAGGTGAGTCATAGGAAAGTTAGGAAGTATTTCATAAGTCCTAGAGTTGCCAGGAAGACGAACAATCTGGAGAGTAAAGTGGTAGAGGCGGAATCTATACATAGCTTTTAAAAATCCGATAAGGCTCTCGAAGCCAGGAGAGAGTGGACCTAGTTGCGAGCAAATTCGGAGTCAGGAACTGAGACTCGATCCCTGCAACCACATATATGTGAGTATATATAGGTGAGTACACTACACACTACACACACACACACACACACACACACACACACACACACACACACACACACACACACACACACACACACACACACACACACACACACGCCCACACACACACACACACACGCCCACACACACACACACGCCCACACACACACAAACACACATACACGCCCACACGCACGCGCGCGCGTGCACTCACGAACACTCAGAAAAGCATTACAATACCTCATCCCAGACATCTGGGGCGAGGATATTAAATACCAAAAATAACTCCTAGGCTCGGCGAATATGATAAACGA